TTTCTCTTTGAAAGGGATGGCAATTTCTTTCAAGATTGTCACAGGACTCAAGAAGTCACCAGTGGATAGCATAATGACAGTACAAATGAGGAACCATTTTCAGGTTCAGGCAATAGATTACCATTATAACTCAGAAATGAGATCTTGGAGTTTGATAGACAGTTCTGTGAGGATGCAAGCTCAATGACAGTCAAAAAAGCAAAGCAAATGTTAGGAGCCATTAGGAGAGAAATGGAGAAAAAAAATTATCATCATAATACTTAAAACACCATAATTCCTCTACATCTTAAATTCTGAGAGTCATTCTAGTCTTTCTATCTCAGGAAGGATACAGTAGAACTGGAAAAAACTCTGACAAAGGCAAGATGAATGATTGAAGGCATGGAGCAGTTACTATAGTGTGAGTAATCATGGACCAGCTACCATGAGTAAGATGGGATTCTTCAGTCTGGGAAAGAGGTGGCTGCAGGGGGAAAGTGAGGCGGTTTGCTGAAAAAAATGGGCAGCCTGAACCGCTGGAACCAGCGGAAGTCATCCCACATTCTTGTGCAGGAGGCAGCGAGCACCATATGATTCTAGCAGGCAACATGTTAAGAACACATAAAAGTAAGTGTTATTTCATATAACACACGGTTAAGTCCTAGTCAGAGGATGCTTCGGAAGCCAAAATTTTACGTAGGTTCAGAAAAAGACTGAATAAATTCACAGAATAGAATCATATTATGTTTTCTGTATAATTAGAAACTCTCATCCACGTCAGGAATTTTCTGGGCTGAAAATGATGGAGGTCATCATCATCATTACTAGGTGAAATTACTAGTATGTCGCTGACTGAGCCAGTTATGGATAACTACCTCCTTCCCTAAACGGGTATCCATTTTTTGCCATTGCTGAAAAGTTAGACATCAGGCTAGACAGACATTTGGTCTCGGCGAGTATGACCCTTTTTTAACAGTTATCCTAGATTTCAGGCAATTACAGTCAGCGTCATGAATTATTTTGAGGGTCAAATATATGAAAAACTTAAGTGTGAGATTATTCAAAAGTTATGTGAAACTGGCTTAATGCCTTTTTCACCTTGAAATCTATAGATCTTAATAGGAACCGAGTCAGAGCAAGACTGGTATGTCTCAAAAGTGCGTGGTGTTTTCAGCTGTATCGTTTCCCTCCACCTTCAGGTGTTAGAAACAACATTAATTTCAGGTAGGGAAAAAGGCTAGAGCAAGGCTTTGTCATAAGAAAGAAATTTACAGTAAGGGAAAAGCTCAGTGGTGCAGGTGATGGCTCTCTCAAGAGCCAGTTCTGGATTGGGGAATTAACGCTTTTAGAAAGCATGGACTATCATAAATTTCACCCTCTTTTTGCTCAAGCTGCAAAATGTGCCTCCATCTTGCTTGCCCTGATGACACATCATGGAAGCGTGCATGTCTGGCCACTGAGTTATTTTCAGAACAAGGCAGCCTGCTGTGAACGGTCCTTTTGCTGAAGAGAAGGTGAGAGCACAGCCATCACTTGGTTGTTCATGTTCTTTGGAGGGTCCCTGAGTGCATCTGGCCATGACACTACTGTGCATAGGGAGAAGTCTTTATGGAAGAGAATCCACATGGTTTTGCTGAATTCCACAGTTTTCCATTTGAACATGAAATCTCTTTGCAATTCTCCAGGGTTGATTTGTAGCATTTTTATTTCAGTGATGTAAGAGCTGCCTTTTACTGCCAAGCCCATAATTAAAGCGGTGTTGACTGGTAAATAATGGGCTGCAAAAGGTGTACCAAAAGATAATTAAAGATGCACTCGAGATAAGCAGGGCATGAGCATTCTTTTTATGAGGTGTTAATGTCTGAAGACCAACTAGTGAAATTGATCTTGCCTCCTTTAGGATGAAAGTTCTGCTTTTAAACATCAATAGCATTGTACTGCCCTAGAAAATGTTTGATGTAGGCATTTCTAAAGGGCTGGAGACTCCCCAGGCAGGCGCCTGGTGACAGCCCATTCTGCACTGGGTAATTTGGCATCCCACTCATGCTAACATGGTTTTGGGGTCGCCTTTGCAACTCCTAGCTCTAGGGCTGCTCTGGAGGGAGAGAGGAGAGGAGCTCCCGATGCCCTGATCTGGACAAGGATAGATGCAAACCCCATTTTAAAGAGCTCTGTGGCTAGTCCTTGTCTAAGAACTGTGTTGTGTCTCCTAACTGTCCTTTACATACGTATCTTTCATTTTTGTTGTATTTCAGCATATTCCACATTATTTGGATTTCTCTGTAGATTCACTTATATGATGACTCTGTCACAAAGGAGCATTGGCAGAGGACACAGTGGGTTTTCACATTTGGACTCTACTGAAATCTACAGCAAAATTCCATGGATTTTGGTGGGAGTGTGAAGACAATCTATGAACAGAAGAGATGCTGTTTTCATTAAGCATGCTGCTTTGGTGTTCCTGCTTCTTTCCCCACATGCTTGCCATTCCCCTATTTGTGAAATGGATCAAAAATACAGGGCAGGGGGGAATACTATTCTCCTGATACAGATTAGAGAAGAGATGGAAGGGCTCACAAACAGTTGTTTTGATTATGGCCAACATGCAACGGCATGATGATGCCAAGGGAACATGGGCAGCAAGGGCTGGTCAGTGTTGTTGCCTGGATTAGTGTATGGTCAAACTGTAGCTGTAGCAGAAATTAGCTCTTACATTAGGCCAAGTCCATATGTCTCAGCAGAAGAGGGGGAAGAGGAGGGGGAGGCAAAGATTGCCATCTTCTTTCCTGGAATCTCACTTAAAAACAAAACTCCCAATCTAAGTCTCTATCAATTAGCATTGCAAAGAAAATCTCTGAAATGAAGGGTGTAAAGAGGCTGCCTGGCAGAGTGCCTGAAACAATAACTCTGGGAAGTGTGAACTGCTCTCTCCATAGCCAGACTATGTTAACAAAAGCCTGGTCTATTTGACCTAGTTCGTAGTGATGGACAGTCACTGTTAGCAAGTAGTGCAAGTTGGTACAAGCCTCTGCTGACTCCTCCTTATCTCTTCTGCACTGGCTGTGGCTATAAGGTGTCTATGTATGTGTTGGAGGGGGTGGCTTCCCTCTCCTTTTGAGATCAATATTGCATGCTATCTGCAGGATCACCTTTATGTTGGAGTTATTTCTATGAGATGATGTTTTCTGCCATGAAAATTGTAAATCCAGAAAAAAAGTCAGCGTTTGCTCCAGCCTTCCTTGTGGCCAGACTGAATGAGTAAGCTCTCTTTGTACCCTACAAACATCCATGGTATCTTTGATCCTGTTGATTATGCACCCCACGGATAGTTGTACTGGAACTGCAGAGAGATAGAAAGGTCATATGCAATTCCATACTTTCTTATGACAGTTTAAATTGGGGCTCCTCAACTCTCTTTTACCCTCTGCTCCTGTGCATCCCCATCTCATGCTGGTTCTTGAACTAAGCTTGCCAAAAACTAACCTGGCCAAATAAAAAGTGATCAGGTTTTTGGAAGGAGTCGCTCTGTGAGTTGGCTCATTGGCTAGTCAAGTGTGCATTGGACTGTTGCGAAGCCATATGGAGGCTTAAAGACAGGTAGAATTGCAGCCTGCATGCTTAGAACAAGAAAAAATAGCTAAAGCTGGATTTGCTGTAGAGAAGACTGTCAATAAAACTATGCTACCAAGCTTTATATGTCTGCTTTATTGTGTCTGAGCCTTCATCCACCCGTCCCTACAGATGTATCTGAATATTAACAGTGAACTAAAACCAAAGGACTAGCAGCACACCTTGACTGCAACTTGAACTGCTGAACCACTTGTCACCTGGTTGCTTTCTTCCCTTCTCCCACATGAAAACTCTTGCTTGAATACAGATTTTATTGCTTACATGGACAGGAAAAACTCTGAACTATCCTGGAGCTCTGGGGGAGAAAAGAAGTCTTGTGAGATGTATCTGTGTTATGACAATCCAGGCTTATGGGAATGCTATGGTAGAGGAAAGGGGGTGAAAAATTTCTTCAAGCTGTTTTTTCCAGATGTTTTGGACTACATGCTGATGTAATCCCTCTGAAATTCTTACTGCCCTCATATGTGCTTCTGCCTGACATCATTATTTAGGTAAAGCCATTCCTGAGGGCATTTACTTTGCCTGATGGACAGTGCTGCTGAAGGAATCCAGGCCCTGGAGTACTAGACTCACAGGGGCTGACTGTCGCCCTTGTCTGCCAGGACATTCATGTTTGTTGTGAAACACTGGTGGTGTGTGTAATGTTAAAAACCTCTCCCAGCTCAACCCAAAGGTGGCTGTGTGAATGGTTGACACAATGGTCCCTGCAGAATGCAAATAGTATGTAACAGCTCTCAGACTCTGTCCCTGTACCCTTCAGCTTCAGAGCAAGCTGGAGTGAGTCCCAAATCTGAAAAATTAATGAGGACATGTTGAGATGAAAAACATGAAGTAATGATGCCATTGTTCTCAAACACCTTCAGTGATAGCCATTAGTGGCCTCATTTGACAAATTATTACATTGACTAATTGATTTGCTGCTGTTCTAACATCTAATCCTTTTCAGCATTGCAACTGTTGCTCCATGGACGTCCTTATGTCACTCTCGGCTCTCTGAAATACTACTTCTGGCCGCTCTTTTGGATTAATACGTTCGTCATGATTTCACCTTGGGCTGTAAGCACAGACCTTGCTTGTTCTGTACATGACTTGGATAAGCAGAGCTGCCTGGAGGCAAAAACACAAAGCGGCCCTAGTAGAGGAAAAGCTTGTGCCAAGTTCTTCAGCACATGCTTGGGAGGGAGACTGCTCCTTCTCCCCCAGGTGACGGCAGAGTGTGCTGGGGGAGGCTTCGTCCTTTACTGGGAACGGTGGGGTTTGATGCAATGTCTAGTAAAGCCACCAGCGCTTTATTTACTGCCGTCAAGTTGATGAGCAATGTCGCACGGGTGGGAGTAGGTGCAGGGTAACTAAACAGGGAAGACGAGGACTTGTGTGCAGCAAGAGCTGGGATGGTTTCCCTTCCGGAGAAGGGCGGTGTGGAGGCCTCCCCGCATCTCGGGGAGCCCCCGGCCTGTGGTATGGAGGGAAGGGGCACCTTCTCAGAGGGCTGGACCGAAGGCTAAAGATAACTTCATTCAATTACCCACACTCCATTTGAATTAAAGAAAGGTGGATGGGTTTGTGGCGGCGGCGGGGGCTTCGCTGGGAGACGCTTTGGCTCCTTCGATGGGGCGAGACCTCATTATGTGTATTTTGGTGATGGGATGACAATGGGTGTGTGGGAGACGGCTCTGAGTCACCCTCGGGGGGCCGGGCCGGGCGGGTGGGGGTCGCGAAGGGCCGGGGCGGAGGGCTCATAAGGCGAGGAGAGGCCTGTTCCGCCCCACCGCCCGCAGAGCCCAGCCCGCATGGAGCTCGCCAGCCTCCCCCCCAGCCCCGGCCCCACCGGTGAGCCTCCCCGGGGCGCAGCCGGGGCCGGGCGGGCGGGCGGTGGCGGCGCTGGTGGCGGCGGCGGGGCGGCCGCTGACCGCCGCTCCCCTCTCCCCGCAGGCGAGGCCCGGGCGCGTCCCGGCGCCGGGCGGGAGGGCGGCCGGCGGAAGCGAACCACCTTCAGCAAGAGCCAGCTGGAGCTGCTGGTCCGCGCCTTCGAGAAGGAGCCGTACCCCGGCATCGCCCTGCGGGAGCAGCTCTCCGGCCTCACCGACATCCCCGAGTCCAGGATCCAGGTGAGAGGGGCGGGAGGGCGGCGGGCGTGTGGGGGGGTGGCGGTGGCTGCCCCCGGCGGGGCCGAGGCGGGGGCGGGCGCTCAGTCTCTGCCGCCCTCGCAGGTGTGGTTTCAGAACAGGAGAGCCCGGCAGCTGAACCACAAGAAGAGCGAAGCCGCCGCCTGCCCCGCGCCGGCCTGTGGCAAGCAGAAGCCGACCCGCTGCGGCGGTGGCTGCCAGGAGAGGTCCCGGACGACGCAGGGTCTTGGGCCGGAGCGGAGCCTCCATCTGCAGCCCGGCCTGCCGGGAGGAAGCCAGAGTTTCACCGGTCAGCCGTTGCCCTGCTCGGGGCAGCCGTACTCAAGGCTCGATGCCCATTTCAGGAGCCTGGATAACACTTTTGGAGCCCCGGGCCAGACCCTAGTTCACTTCGGTTTGGACTGCGTGGGAAAAGGGGTCCCGCTCAGTGCGGGAAGCACGGGCAGTCCCCCCCAGCTCGCACTCCCTGTGCAGCAGGCACAGGAATATCCATACCTGAAGAAATCTTTCCCTGAAACCTACTACTCAGATGTAGATGTTTTCCAGTCATATGCAGAAGATCACCAGTACCTGGCAGCTAAAGAGAACATGCATAGGAGGCCTGTCTTAAACTATGTCAGTGCTAACCAGGGACTGGGTGACGAGAACTACTTGTGTATCAAGTCAAACACTTCTCCCTTTGGGAAGGGCTCCACTTTCAATTCAGGTGAAGGGGAGCCTAAGCTTGAGCTTGAGCAGATGAGGCACAGTCCACCTCTGGTCGCAGCTAGTCACTGCAGTGCTCCTTTGGTACTTCCAAAACCTGAAGCAGGGTACCAAGGGGCACTTGCTGCTCCAGCCCCGTCCTATGGGCAGCAGCTGCTGGAGGCAGTAAATGGCTGTGACCCTCATTGCCTGGGCATGAAAAATGAAATTTTGGGAACTGGTTTAGAGTCGCTGTTTGAACAAAATGGGGATCTAGGTGGGCCAAAAAGTTACCTTTTTGCTTTTGGTGGCCAGAGTTCGACCTGTCACTTGGGTTACACATGAAACGGGCAGAGGGTCTGCTTGCCTGATGAAAAAGGAATGTGTTTTTTTTGTTCGATTTGGCAGTGTTGTCCAAAGTGGCTAGAGGTTTTGCGGGTCTAAGGGTGGAGTGCTTGCTCAGAGTTTTGTGTGCTGACTGGAAGGGGAAAGAAGATAAGCAGAGTTAGCAAGGGCTACAGGAGAATAACCTGCTGAATGTGTGGTGCACCCCCCCCCCCCCCCCCCGCCCCATTCTATGGGAAGTGTCACCAAGCTGCTTGCAGTAGTCCTGCCTGTGTTTGGTTATTGGCAGCCTCGCATTAAATTGCACACACGGACTGATGATCTTCATAAATATGTCGGTGCTGAAGATTTACTCTTTCTATGCTCAGACTGTGCTAGATTAATTCTGCCAGGAGGCTTGGGACTATGGCATTGGTTTTGGGGCCTTACCACAATGAGTTTTGTTTCTATTCTGGTTAGAATTTGCTTACTTTAACTTAAGAAATCTGTAGGAAACAGACATATTTATAGCCTTCAGTGGAGAAAGCATTAACATGATGGGGGTACAAGCATGGGAAGAGCAGCCTTGGTGGTGGCAGGGGATGGCTCACTGGGTGTGTTTGAGTTTTAGGTGTGCTCCTGATAAAGAACACTGCTGGGTCTTTTCCTAGATACTTAATGTGTAGCGTTTTCATTTAAAAATGACCACATGTGTAGCCTTTTAAAAGGCAATATTTTTGTGATTTCCTTCTGTATATATATTTTTTCAAATTGTTTGTTTTGTTTTGTTTTGTTTTGTTTTTTTTTTTTCAAATTGTAGTTTTCTATTTGCCAAATGAAGGTTTTCTACCTGGGTGATAATGAACTTGTAGAACTGCACTCACAGGGAAAGAAGTGTGTTCCATCTTTGTATTTGCACATTGAGCCTATTTCTAGACTTCTCAAGATCCATGGCCATCGGAATGACCACTGTAATCATGGAAGTGTTGTTCATCTGTATCTGGAGAGCTGCCATAGTCGTGTATCAAAGCAATGTTGGGCCTAGGATACTGAAAACTATACATGCAAATCCTTTTTTGTATTTAAAATGTGGCTCTGGAATATTTTAAGTATGCCTAGATTTTAATACATATTAACTTAATTACTTTGTTTATAGAACAAAAGAAACAAAAATAAAATTTAAACACAATTATTTTATTAATAAAGTTGTTATCTCTTTGAAGAAGCTGTCTATTGAGATGTGTACATGAGAAGACCAGAAAATTAGTACTGACTTTTGACAGTAATTTTTAGCAGTGGCTGTGGAGAAGTCTTTTCACTTTTTTGCCTTGACCTGAATAGTTGGAACACACTCATGTATTAGAGGAACCTTAACTTCAGACAACAGCTGCAAGGCACTTTGAACACAAAAAGTTGTATCTGAGAGCTAAATACAAGGTGATGATTGTATTTATGATTGTATGTAAGACTCCCTTAGTAAACTTTTTTAAAACCCTGCATTAAGACTTAGTTATTTATATATACCTGCTCCCTTGTAAGACATACTTGATGAGAAGTGAGACATATTCCTAGGCACAGGCAGAACAAGAGTAATAATTTTACCCATGAAACAGACAAGAAAGGGCTGTTCAGAAGCATGTAGCATAACAGCCTTGCTTCAAAAAGAAAGATGAAGAGGGGAAAGGACATTTGAAAGAATAGCATGCCTCATTAAACCTCAAGGATGTGGGCTTTTGGTTCCTGCAGTCAGCAGCCACCTGGCAGGCAGCACTGGGTCTTCCCAGGGTATTTTCGGTGCACCAGCACCCTCTTACGTCGCAGGGGTCTGAGGTAAATAATTGGAAGGCCACTGTTCTAGGTTCTCTTACATGAGCCTGGTCTCTGCAGTACATCCAGCTCTCTCCCTGTCTTGCTCTGTAGACATCCTATTCTGTCAAAGCTCACAAAGCTGCGCTGAGGCAGCTGTGTTAGGTGTTTGGTGTTAAGCCGTTTCTCCTGGCTGCTCTAACCCCTTCACATGGCCTAGGGAACACACTTCCCTTACTAGCAAACCCATGTTTCCAACACTGAAGCGGAATACACTCTAAATACTTCTTGTGAACAGTTCCAAGAAAAAAGAAATCATTTTCTCATCACAGAGCTACCTACTGCTCAGGGTAGAGCTTTTCCAAGTTAGGGGTTTTCTTTTTTTTTGTAAAAGACCTACTAGCATATATCCCACAAATAAGAAAAATCTGTGCAAAGCAGTCAGACGCAACACTCTCCTGTGATGTTTCTGTGAACTTTCACTCCTTGCTACGAGGTAGGGAATGCCAGAACACAAATTACATGCTTATTCAACAGATAGGAGGTGCTTTCACAGTGACGGTGTTACTAGCTTCCCCTGGACTTGCATGCCAAATGCATCCTGCTATCACACGAGTAGGTGATGCTGAGGAAGAGGTGGGGCAGGAAACAAGTGTGTTGACTGTTGGAGTACTCATCTACTGCCTGTAAAATGCTCGTGTTTATAGAAGAAAGGAGGATCTTACATGCTGAAAACTGTTATTTTCTTCCAGGTAACTTGTCAAAGAGAGGCAGTGAGGACCCAAATTTATAGTCAGCTTGGACCCACCCTGCTGCTAGATGTCTTGAGTTCCTCACTTTGTGGGAGCCTGCAAGGCGCATTCCTACCTTCTCAGCCAGGTCCTCCAGCAGCAGGACCGGCGCGCCAGCCCCGTCCTTGCTGGGAGCGCCCGCCTGCGGGGCAGCACCGGGCCAGCCCCACGGAGACAGCAGCTCATCACCCAGACACCTCTTTAGCAGCCCTGCTCCTCCCTGTTTCCCGGCATGAGGTAAATTACCCGGGAGAAAAGGGCTCCTCACCTAATTAGGTAGACCCTGTACCTATAAAAAACTTCAGGAAGACTTGGCTTAAGGCGTAGGCACGGGCCCGAGATAAACAACTACCCACTTCTCACCTAGAGTATCTCGGCTCCCGCATGCCTAGGCATGTCCTTACCGGAGTGGCGGGCTCGGGATCTGAAAAGAGCCCCCATCTAAGTACATGGACGTCCGAGTTCACAGCGCTGGAAAGCCCTTCATAGGTTTTTACCCTCTGACTTGTTTGCCCTCCCCTAGTCCTTGGTAAAGATTTGTGGGTTTTTTTGTTTTTTTTTTTTTTTTTTTAAATAGCTCCTTCACACCGATTTCGGGGGCACAGCAACCCGTTCGCAGGGTCACAGCCGCGAGGGCCGCGGGAGCGCCAGCGACCCCACACAGCGTGGCCCCGCCCCGCCGCGTGTGCCGGCAATAGGCCTCCGCCGCGGCCGCCTCTCCCGGAACTCCGGGCGCAGCCGCTGTTTCCGGGGGGGTTCGGCGCAGCGGGCCGCGAGGTGAGGGCCCACGCGGCGCGGCGGGGACGGGTGGGTGGCGGCGGCGGTCGCTGGTGGGGAGCAGCCCCATGGGAGAGCCCTGCTCTCCTCCGCAGGCGGCGCGGCGCCGGCCCGGAGGGCTGCGGGCACGGCGCCCGGCCCGGGTCGAGCCCTGCGGCCGTGGGTCCCGGCGCGCTGGGCCTGGCGCGGCCGGGGGAGCCGCCGCGCTCCGGCACTTGCCGTGGGCGCGCAGGCGGAGCGTGAGCTAGCTGTGCCTCCCCGCGGTAACGTTCATCCCACGGCGCTGCTGTTTTCTCACAGGTGTGCTGTACGCGCTAACTGCATTTTCTTCTCGTGTCAGCTGTGCATAGTGTCGCGCAGAGGCAACCTACGTCATACTGATTTTAAACAGTCGTTGAACGAGTAAGATGGAGGAGAAGGAGAAGAAGAAGCACCGTGCAAAGCACAGTGGGCCAAAGGCAGAGAAGAAAAGGAAACGTTACCTCAATGACCTAGGAATAGGGGATGATGAGAATGCGCGGAAGAGAAACCCCAAAGCCTTTACAGTCCAGTCTGCTGTGCGGATGGCCAGAACTTTCCATAGGTAAGAAGTGGGAATTGGTTATAGAGCATATAAGGTCAGTTAGATAAATTGGTGTTGGCTGGGGTTTCTTTGTCGCTTTCTGTAGAAACATACACAGTGTAATTTTCACTGGTGTGCTCACATAGCTTCCATCATTCGCCAGGGGATGTTGTAGTTCATGTGTATGTCAGATGTGGGATGCTTTCTGCATCTGTGTTACGTGGTGCAGCTGCCTTTGTCTTAATGGAAAAAATGCATATAGCTCCTTACACTTGGTGGCAGTTCTGCATACATATCAGTATCTGGGCGCTTGGTGAATCTTGGTGTCTAAGCTTTTGCAAACACTGAAGACTTTAAAAGAATAAATGTTACCGTTTTTTAAGTTCTTGTATATATTTATTACAAATTTCTTCTCAGAACTCAGGATCTGAAGACTAAAAAACACCACATTCCTGTGGTTGACCGTACTCCTTTGGAACCGCCTCCTGTGGTGGTGGTTGTAGTCGGCCCTCCCAAGGTTGGGAAGAGCACCTTAATAAAATGTCTCATTAAGAACTTCACAAGGCAAAAACTGGTTGAAATCCGGGGTCCTGTTACAATTGTTTCAGGTGAGAACAAAGATACAAGGAATGGAAATGCTGATTTTGCAGTCCTTATTCTATTTGTCTTGCTTTTAGAGCTAGGACATGTTCATGTTCTTACAGTTTGTGGTCATTTTGAAGAAATCATTTGAATGGTGTTATCAGGTGTGTTTATTAACAGTAAAAGAATAGTGAGGTTTAGACTTTTGAGGGACTTGTCCCTTTAAACTCGTTTTCAGCTCTGCTGGGATGCCATTTCTGTTGTGTGGTGGTTTGGTGTGTTGTTTGTTTTTTTTGTTTTTCCTCTTCTCAGTTGCTTTCATCTCCCAAACTCTTCCCAAGTTTTCCACTGGGTTCTGTTTTCCATTTCAAACTGTTTTTCTCTGGCTTGATCCTAACCTCTCCAGGCGTTTCCCATTTTTTCAGGTTCCTTGTCCTGTAATCCTGTTTTTGCGTCTATTTCTTTCTTAAGCCAAGAATTAGTTTGCCTAGCCATTGCCAGTTATGTTTCTCCACCTCACCTCCTGGTCAGTCCCTTTTCCTCTTTGTTAAGTTTTCAGTCCTGGTTTCCACTTGTTTTAGTCTGTTCCCTTCACACTTTTCCCTGACTATGACTAGGGGGGATCACTGAGGTCCCAGGGAGAGCACAGCCCACAGCAGCTCAAAGAACCAATCTGTGAGTGAGATCTTGCTTGGACTCAGACAACTGTATGTTTGGTGTAGGTAGACTCTTCAGAGACTTCAGTAAATCTCCTTTTTGCAAGGAATAATTGATAGATTAGAAAGAAAAATGCAAAGGAAAATGAGTATGTTAAATGGGATTTCCTGATTGGTCTACTGGGACTCCAGGGGTTGAGTTTTGTAGTTGATAACCTGAAGACAAAGAACATGATACCTGTTGTCTATAGTTGTTAAAAGTTGTTACTCCTGTTGTCTAAAGTTCAGTTAGCTAACTCAAGTTAGTGAAGCTAAGTGAACAGTGGGCACTTCTTTCTCATTTGGATGCATGTTAAGAATTTTTTTGATATGTTAATCTTTTTTTTTTTTTTTAAAGGCTAGAACAGGGTGTTATAATATCAAAAGAAAAAAATGTGGTAAAATGAAACTTACAGTATTCTCTCTGGAGCACTGAAGATGAAAGAAGCAGGTTTTTTTTCTTTTTCCAAAATAAACAACCCACGTTTTTTTTTCTATTAGTATTCGTTTTGGAAAAGTCCAAACAACTCCTTTGAAAACACGTACTCAACCTGATAATTTTAAACCTAAAAGTTAAAAGTTAGCGGAATTATAGACACTTGACAACAGGCACTTCTACAATGGTGGATGTTGGATGATCGATATGCTAGACAATAATTTGAGTCCCGGATGCTCTTTAGGAACATCAGGAATGTGACATGAAAAGACAGCAGTGGACTAATCAGTTAACTCCCTCTGTTTCAGTTTTTGATTCTTAATTCTGTTTTCAGGTAAGAAACGCAGGCTAACTGTTATTGAATGTGGATGTGACATTAACACAATGATTGACCTTGCTAAAGTTGCTGATTTGGTAAGTTAACGATGTGACGTGATTTCTACTATAATTTATTTTAACAGTACTACTTTTGGCTGGACTGCACCAATGTCTTGATTTCTACACATTGC